CTGTCACTTCTTGACTGAGGTACAATGTGACCAACCACCTCACACTCCTGTTGCCATGCCTTCCCTCCCATGGCAGGTGCATCCTCAAAAGTTGTAAGCCAAAATAAACCCTTCCATCCTTAAGTTGCTTTTTGTCAGATATTTTGCCACAGCAACAAGTAACTAATATATACACCATGGAGCCGAGGTGTATAGCAGGTCACACTGTCAAGTACTCTGTGATGTTTGTCGCACAGCTTAATTGCCTGTGTTTTCAGGATGTGTCAAATGTTTAAGCAGCACGATTATTTATACTGTGGAAATCACTGCATGGTTCCTCCTCCAAACACTAAAACATGCTAGGTCAACTCCGACCCAGCACTTCTGCTCCAAGGCTCATAAACACACACTGTATCTAGTCATCCCTGAACTCTACACCCTCCCCCTCCTCTGGTCTTAAAGGGCCTTACTCTACGTGCTTCTCTCCCTGCAGGCTTTTCAGTCACCACTCCAGCTCACCAAGTCCTTCTCCTTCTGAGCAGTCCCAATGGCAAAGGACCATCTGGTACTGTTGTGGAATCTGGCCTAGTCTTGCCACTGGGGGAAAAAAAAAAAAAAAACCCTCCTTGTGACAGTTTTTCATCCCTCCTCCAGAGAAAGAGCCCAGAGCAAGTGAATTAAGAACAATATTTTGAAACTATGTTAGGGTTCTGTTTTTGTCCATTTACTATTTAAAACAGACTGGGTGTTATAGCTTGAGAACAAGTGGCTCCTTATTTGGGGATTGGTTTATAAACTGCATGGTTGAAAATACATCCCAGCCCAGGGCTTTTTCTATAGCTGGTGATGAAGAAATGAACAAAGCCAGAGCCCCAAAAGACCAATATAGTCAGCAGCTGCCAGGGAAGATTTCATACTTAGAATGGTTAGCTGGCTAGAGAGTGGTTCTATTAAAAGACTTTGTTTCCTCTGCAAAAGTAAAGTTTGAATGCATTAAATCTTAACTGAGTGCTAGAGGCCTCGACATATAACATGAAAATAGACTAACTAAACTAACTACAAAGCAGTTTTCCAAGTAAGTTCAAAGATTTTCAACTAAGCCAGGCATGGTAGCACATGCTTTTAGTCCCAGCACATGGGAAGCAGAGTGCTCTGTAAGACAGAGGTCAGCCAGGTCTACAGAGCGAGTTCCAGGCCAGCTGGGGCTACAGGGAGACCCTGTCTCAAAAACAAATGAACAAAGATTTTCAACTTTTTAAAAACCCACTAATTTAAAATGAGGCTTTTGTTTTGAAAATAAATTGCACCAAAGGAGCAATAAACTTGCGCATGTCTGACACCCTGAACTTGGAACTGGATACCTAACATTTCATCTGTGCCATGTATTTAGTCACTTATTCTATGTTCATTAATTGAATATCTAATATATTCTGGGTAATGTTTGCTGGGTACTGGGAAAACAAAGAAAAATAAGACATCCTCACCCACAAGGACATCAAAATGTGAGGCAAACATGTTTTTAAATATGACAAGTGATCTAACAAAATATGCACCTATCTTGGACTTGAGGCCATAACTGAGTACTAGATGCTGACTCCACTAAGTGAGTAGAGGAGCTGTGTAAATTACAGTTTGAAGCAGACAAAGATGTAGTTTCTGGAAACTGAGAATAAGCTATAAGACATCCAGTGAGTCTAAACATATCCTAGACTCCTATGACCACCAGGGGACAGAAACAAACTAGATGTCAGCAATCCCGAAATACGGGATGCATATCAAGAACTAATAAAAATAGCAGAGGTAAAAACAACCAGAGGGCAAACATCAGGTAAGATGTGAAAAGGCAAGAAATCACAGGGATATGGAACCAGAGCTGTTTAGTCAAAGCTCATTTGTGATCACAGAGAAGGAGTAAGCCAAATCTTAAAGACAAACTCCCATCTGTCACAAGTATGCTATGTGCCAAGCATTTGGCTAGTCACTTCCTATAAATTATTCCATTTTATCTCCCACCCGAAACTATAAGAGGGCTGTTTACAAATGAAAACACAGAGACTCAGTGATCTGGGATTCAAACCTTGAGGTCTGGTTTACAAGTTTTTGCACAGTCAAGTCTATATCCTTCCTGCCTGGGAAGGCACATTGCAAGTAGTTCCCGCCACTGGAGGAAAGTGAGGAAATACTGGCTACAGATTAAGGCAAACTGGTTAAAATGAAGAGAGCAAAAACCAAGGGCAGAGAATAACAAGATGACCCAAGGAACTTCCATTAACTTGTCAGAGTAGACTTAGTGTGGCCACTTTTGTTACTGTCTCAATTTCAATATGGCAGTGATCATATATCAGAAGTCCTGGCACCTTTGACTCGGACATCAAGTTATACATACCCAAATAAAAGAATCTAATATCTGGGAACATTTCTGAGGCTGAACAAGGAGATAATTCAATTTACTGAGGAAAAATGAAGAAGGAACACTAGTGGATCACAGGCTATGATGTGAAACAAAGTCTGCTGCCCCAGCAAAACCATTTCCATCCAAAGAACAGCCAGGGCTGAGGTACTTATTGTTCCACATCTGCTCTAGAGAAAACAAATGGGCCCCAGCAATGGGGGCATGGAGTGGGTGTATGCCAGCTTTCAGTCCCAGGTAGCACGATGGCTATTATTCACCATTCATCTGAAATACAATGGCTTTATATAGGAGTTCTTAAGGAAATAAGCATTAGTTAGCAGAAATGAAAGCACAGTTAGGACTAGGAGCACAGGAGATACAAACATACAAACAAGTAAGGGACCACTTAAAAAGGGTTGGCCAATTAAGGAGGCTGGAGAGATGGCTCAGCGGTTAAGAGCACAATGACTGCTCTTACAGAGGACCTGGGTTCGATTCCCAGCACCTATATGGCGGCTACAAACCGTCCTTAACTCCAGATCCAGGGGAATCCGAAGCCCTCTTCTGACCTCCGAGGCATTGCACGACACAGGTGCACTCACATACATGTAGGCAATACACTCATACACATAAAAAAAAAAAAAAATTTTAAAAAGGGGGTTGGCCAGTTTTGCAAGATGACAAAAATTCTGGAGATGGATGATGGACGTCATTGCATGATAATGGTGGTTGCACAATGATGTAAATAGGACTTAATGTCAACGACCCGGCATATATCTTTTAAATCCCAGCACTTGGGAGGCAGGTGAAGAAGAAGGTGGATCTCTGTGAGTTCTAAGTCAGGCTGGTCTACATAGTGAGTTCCAGACCTGCCAGGGATGTCTTAAATTAATTTAGGACTGGAGAAATGACTCAGTGAATAAGAGCTCTTGCTGCTCTTCCAGAGGATCTAAGTTCAATTCCCAGCATCCACATTATGCAGCTTATAACCTCCTGTAACTCTAGCTCCAGGGGATCTTCTCCAAAGGCACTCACACATACCTGTAGAGACACACATGTACACACATAAAACTAAATCTTTAGCTGGGCTTGGTGGCACACGCCTTTAAATCCAGCACTTGGGAGGCAGAGACAGGCGAATTTCTGTGAGTTCAAGGCCAGCCTTGGCTACATAGTGAATTCCAGGCCAGCTGGGGCTGCAGGGAGACTCTGTCTCAAAATAAAACAAAAAATAATAAATAAATAAATAAATAAATAATAAAAATAAGTCTTTAATAAATGTTTGCTTAGCTACAAAAATGATATCTGTAAGAGAACACACATGATTTCTTTTAAACAAGAGGATAGTTTACCAGCAGCTAGGCAAGCTGATTGGTGTTACTTAAGAATGACTTGTGAAAGGGATCTGCAACTTATGTTAATCTCTGAATAGCATGATATAAATGCTATTAAATTCTTGGAACCCCTGGAGAGATGGCTCAGTGGTTAAGAGCACTGACTGTTCTTATAGAGGACTCCGGTTGGATGCCCAGCACCCAAATGGCAGCTGACAACTGCCCGCAACTCCAGTTCCAGGGGATCCAACACCTTCTTCTGACCTCCTTGGGCACTGCACTACAGAGGTGCACTTACACACTTGCAGGCAATACACTCATACACGTAAAATAAAAACAATATAAAAAATCCTTGTCTCTACATTTTTGTGTATGGGTATGCAATGACACACACACACACACACACACGTCAAGAGACACATGTGGGAGTCAGCTCTCTTCTTCCAACATGTGAATCCTGGAACCAAACTCAGGTCATCAGTCTTAGCATCTGGTATTTTACTCACTGAGCCATTTTGCTGGCCCAAAGAATTCTTTATTATAGTCAGGCTTGTGGCATTTAAGGCAAATGTAGTGTAGCGAAAAAAAATGCAGAATTTTTCAGTTCCACACCCCAATCACTTCAAGGATGGGCTTCTACTCTTAAAATATGCCCATCATCGATCACAATTAATGCCCCTCATTGTTTATTGTTCTAAGTGCTGTTGTTTTCCTGTCTAGCTCCCAAAGTAGCCACAAAACACTAGACTCCCTTAGGCCATAGGATGACACACACTTAGACTTCCCTTATTGGGCCAAAGGTGTCATCTTTAAGCCTGGCAAACAAAAGTCATGCTAAATCTAACTTGACTCCTCAATGAAGTTCCCTGGATAGTTTTTTGCTATAATACTCCCTCTTCTTAAACACAGTTATAACCTTCCACCCGGTAGCAGGTACTGCCCTTTCTTCTCTTTTAAACTTCTATTTTATGTGCGTGTACAAGTGTGCAGGTACCCACAGGCCAGTAGTTGTTGGATCCCCTGGGGATACAGTGGTCGTAAGCCCCCTGATGTAGGGTGCTTGAGAACAGAGCTCTGGTCCTCTGGAAGGGCAGCAAATGCTCTTAACCCCTGCACCATGTCTCCAGCTCCTTTCTTGGGCTACCAGATGCCTGTTTGACTAGTCTGGACACTTCCTCTTACCCCCAAATCTTTTCCTAAGAAGGCGTCACCTCCAGCCACTCTGAGCTTCGAGGAAGGAACCACACCCACCAAACACGCCCAAGAGACAAGCAGAGGTTGCTAAGACCTCGCGAGAGCTCAGCCGCACACTTCAGGAGGTTGGGGCGAGGCCCGACACGGCGGTTGGACGCTTCCGCAAAGATGGCTACAGCCGCGGGGAGAAGCGCTCGGCTGGCGGCCTGGGGCGGAAGACTGCGGCGGAGACTCGCGGCCAGCCGACGAGCCATGCCGAGTCCCGGCCCTCTGGCAGCGGTCGTGGCCGGCGTGGCCCTGGGAGGGGCAGGAGCGGCGTGGCATCACGGCCGCGTGAAAGTTGCGGCGCGCGAGGGCAGCCTCACGGTGCTGGCGCAGGTACGCGAGGAGCCCTTCCGGCGAGCCCGTCCCGGCTCCGCCTCCTCAGATGCTGGGCGCGGGGGGGAGGAACTGGAGGACCCCGGGCTGCAGGGAGGGCGAGGGAGACCGGAAACGGTCATCTGGCTTCCACCGGCAGAAGCCGCCGGTCCTCGGTACTCAACCCCGGACTTCCGGTAGGGATGGTGTGGGCGTGGCTCGGGCCGGAGTGGTCTTCTCTCTGCGCCCTTCCCCACCTAGGTGGTGCTGTGCATCCCCTATCTCACTGGAGCCACGTCTCATCCCTAAGATCGCTTTAGTGGAGTCGTCCTACTGCATGACTTCCAGCCATGACTATCAACCGTCAGAGTTAGCCAGTTGTTAGTTTGCAGGTTTTATCAATTCTAATGACGGTTATTTACGTGATTCTAAGTCATAATGTTTTAGTGGACCCTGCCTACCAAACCAAAAGGTGTATAACCTACATCTGTTAAGGTGTAAATGTTAAGTTCCTTACTTCAAGAGAAATATTACCATGTAAAACATCGGAAAGTTTGACAGTTCTTCCTAAAAAATAGTTGTGTGGACATTTTAGTGTTTATGAGTTTTCTGAGAATCAAAAATACTCTTCTATTTTTAATGTACATCATGTCTTTCTAACGAAGAATTCAAGGAACATTAAAATACAACCAAAAAGAGAGAAAAGGGGAACTTGCATATTAAAATTAAGTATGGTTAATGATACTGGTATTAAGATACATCATAGATAATGTGTTCATTGACTCCAGCCTCACACCACATCTTAGAGGAGAAAGATCTACCTTTTTAGTGTATTACAGCATTTTTCTTAATGTTGTATCAGACAAACTTATTTTTCAGTATTGATTTTTCTGCTTTATTCAGTCCCATATTCTTCAGAACCTTAGGTTAATCTTCCCCACAGTTTCACTTTAACTTTAGAAACCACTAGTGCCTTGAATAAAATCCAGTTTTTTCCCCTGGCTCTGAATTTTAGGGTTATTGTTTGGTCTGTTTGGTTTTGTTTATTTTCTGATTCACTTCTAACCTGTTTTCACTTTAAATTACTAACTTCACCTTACAGTTTACACCAGTGTGATATTTTAATTTCTTTCCCCAACTCTTAGCCTCCCCATTCTCTACAACTTTGTAACCTTTAGCCTAGCTGAAGCAATAACAGAATACTATCAATTGTTTGATCAGGTCTGTTGACATATTTGCTAGATCTGCTTGTTGGACTGATTTGAAACAGGTTTTTATGCTTTTACTGCCACAATAAATGGCAGTAAACAGTGACTGAAAACTAGTGCATCCAGTGGGGCTGTAGCCTGGAAAACTCTCCCTACACCTCAGTGATTTGAATACCTTTCACTAATCCGAGGACCAGGTTAATCCTTTTCTACCACTACTTGGGGAGCATGTGTGCATAATTTCTGAGATACCTGTATGCTCAGAATTTTGGGGTTGTGATTAATAATATTTCATCCCTTGATAGTTTTAATTGTGGTGTGATGGTTTGTTTTGTTGCTGTTGTTGTTTTGAGAGTAGTCCTGACTGGTCTGAAACTCACTACATGGACCAAGCTGGCCTCAAACTCACACAGATATGCCTGCTTCTTCCTCGCAAATACTGGGATTAAAGGCATGAGCCACCACTCCCAGCAGTGATGACTATTTTACTCCTGATCTAATTTGCTTTCTGTTGCTGTGATAAAAGACCCTTACCAAAACCAGCTTGAGGAGGAAAGGGTTTATTACATCTTATACTTCCAAATAACAGTCTTATCATTGAGAGAAGTCAGAGCAGGAACTCAAGGCAGGAACCATGGAGGAACATGTTAATGGAGTCCTTCACTTTTTTTCTTTTCCACTGTGACCAGAAGCTTGCCGTTGAGGGGAGTCAACTAGGGATTAAGTGTACAAGTCCAAGTCATGAAACAGCTGATAGAATCTAGCTTCATTCTTCTTTTCATGATTATTGAAATCCTGTTTGTCAAAGTGAGATCCAAGAAGTGAGGCTTAGAATGACAGCTTATGTACTTAAAGTTTAATGGTAGAGGACAGTTTTAATGCAACATGGTAAACGCTGTGCTAGGGGTAAGTGCTGGGTGCCGTGGGAGTGCACTAGAAGAGCATCTAACATATTCCTGGTTTCCTGAAGGAATTAATGTATAGTCACTCAGAGTGACTGGAAATTCATTTGGAAGAAAAAGAAAAGAGTGACGCAGGTAAAGGGATATTAATAGCTTTTCGGGGAACTGGAAGTAAAAGCTTGACTCAGCAAAATGTGAGCAGTAAGAGATGGGTGTGTGGTGAGTGGGAATGAGATCATTCACATAAGCCATGTGGCAGGACTTTTTATCTTGAGGACAGTAAGAAGCCATTGCAGAAGTTCTAAACTATCATGTACACCCCGTCCAGATATAGAATGCAACGTAGATAGAAGAGCTTACATTGTTTTCATTGACCTATAATTTATAGTTCTCTAATTATAAATATCGGCAACAAGATATACTAGACCCGAGCTTCCTAAACGGTGGGTGGTAACCTCATATGGGGTTGCATATGGAGTCCCATAACTGAATATGGGGATTGCAAAAATTGTGGCAACAATAAAACATCCTCTAAAGGCAACCAAGGGCAAAAAAATAAATTAAAAATCAAATGTAGGATTAATCCCAGGTATTTCTAGCAGTGCTCGCGCATGTTACACCACGTGACTTCACTGAGGATTGGTTCTGAGCATGCAACAGGAGCAGTTTTTACTGTGCATGCCCTTATATCATTGCCTGAAACACCTTAACTCAGATAAGAGACCACTGTACACTATGAATTGCAGTACTTTTACTGTGTATTTAAAGTTTTCGTCTCATAGAAATACAATGGTTTAATTACAGAAAACAAGATTTTGATATTTTTCTACCATCATTCAATATGCATCAAGTAACTATATCTTTGGATTATATTGTATTTGAATATTTTATTTCGAAAACTTTAGGTTACTGATTTGTTTCATTAAAAAATCATTGAAAAGGGGCTGGAGAGATGGCTCAGCAGTTAAGAACACTGGTTGTTCTTACAGAAGACCTGAGTTCGAATCGCAGCACCCACATAGCAGCTGACAGCTGCCTGTAACTCCAGTTCCAGGGGCTCTGATGGCCTCTTCTGTCCTCCACGGTCATTGCACGACATGGATGCACTTACCTACATGCAGGTAATACACCCATACACATAAAATTTAAATTTTTTAAAAAAATCGTTGAATATTGGCTTGGGATTAGGATATAATCTCCAACAATTTCTGAAGTGGCCCTAAACAATGAATACTTCTGCATAGTTATTCATATTATGTATCCACACTGATAATTGTAAAAGCAAAAGGTCAGTCAACTCTGAAGAACATTGAAGATGCTTTCAAATATTCAGACAAGTTTTAATTCTTTATGTGAAAACAGACAAGCACTTCCATCTCATTTTTAAAAGTTTTATTCTATTTGTGTGTGCTCTGCTTCCTGTGCCTGCTTGAAGATATGAGTGCTTAGCTGCCTCCTGCCATGTCTTCCCCACCGTGATAGACTCTTCTTCCTCTGGAACTGTAAACCCAATAAATTCTTCCTCTGTAAGTTGCCTTGAACATGGAGTTTTGCCACAGCAACAGAGGAATAACTAATACATATGTATAAAAAATTCTTTTAAAGTAACTTTGTTAGTAAATTACTTGTATTTTATATACCTGTATTACCAAGGGTCTTGTAAAAAATTTTCAATGGGAAAGGTTTTAAGAAGCCTGACACTGGTTTTACACCATCCAACTTTGTCATAAATAAAATAGTTACTTTCCTAGTATAATGGTTACAGTACCTCAAAAGATAGTTTTGAAATTACTGTTAAACCCACCAGCTTATCAAGCTCTGTAATACAGTTTGGTTTGACCTGTGGGGAGAGCATCAAGACATTAAGAAAAGTGAATTGAAAATTGGAAGTACAGAGCTGTCACAGTAATTTGGGAAACTTGATGATGCTTAAATCAAGGGATTAATTTAAAAGACAAATTGTAAGCAGTCTGAATTGCATGTGTCTTATGTAAAATGTGATTTATCGATTCAAAAATATATAGTGATTACAACAGGGCAACAAAAGATGGCCTCCTGCAAAGAAGTTGGTAGTGGAGCTTGCTGTAGAGTGCAGCATGCCAGCTGCTTCTACATAAACTTCTGCTTCTAAAACTGTTTTAAAAAACTTTGTAAAGTTTTACATAATATTGGATGCTAGAAGTTTCTCTGACTTCATGTCAGATTTATTTTGCTTTTCAAAGAAAACTTTGCTGCTATTTAAAAAGTAAAGTGATTTGGGATAATAGTTACTGTGTTCCTTTATTCTAGATAAAGGGGCAAGGAGCTAAATCCCTTATATGAATTCATTGGTGTTTTATTCCTTTTGGTAGGTATAGTTGTATTTGTATTTTAAATCCTTAAAAACTGACTCAGATCATCTTTTCCTTCTTTAGAATTATTTTATGTACTTGTTTTGTCTTCTCCCACTAGAATGGCCATTTGTCTCTCATTTTCATCTCTGCATGTTGGTGCATAGAACAGTGATGGAATGAGTAAAGAGCCTGTGTAGAGCAGTGGTGGGAAGCAACTCTGTTAGTAACTGATCTAAATATACTCAGTTACATACACACTTGGAACCATGAAGACATGCCATGCCATAGTCCCAGCAGAAACATAGGTGCCCTGTTCTGCTGTAGTCCATGGGCCTATTATGTCTGGTATAGGTGCATTAAATATTTATTGAATGGTTAAAAAAAACTGGTGAACTCTTAATTTTAATAATTATTATTAATGTCCCAAGAGTTTAAAGGTGGATCTCTTTTGCATGTTACTCCATGAGATTGTTTTTAATATGAGCATTTATGTGTTTTTATTACAGTAAGCCTTTGTCTATGATAGCTTTTGCTGTCATATTTAAAATATCGAACATCAATTTTAGAATTTATATAAA